GCATGTTAAAGCGTCACAAGATTTTCTTCAAATAGTTCTTCTGAATCCCTAGAATCTTGTTTGCAGATCCTAAATCCTTCATTTCAAATTCCCTAGCCAACTGAGCCTTTAATTCTTGGATACGATCTTTGTTGGGGCCTGCAACCAACATGTCGTCAACATACAACAATAAGATAACAAAGTTATTTTCACCAAACCTCTTGAAATATGCACAAGGGTCTGAATTAAGTCTGTTGTATCTAAGGCTCATGATGAATGAATCAAATCTCTTATACCAACACCTCGGTGCCTGTTTTAGACCGTACAGAGATTTGTTCAATCTGCAAACCAAGTTCTCTTTTTCTTTTTCTTCAAAACCTTCTGGTTGGAGCATGTAAATTTCTTCTTTAAGATCTCCATGAAGAAATGCTGTTTTCACATCTAGCTGCTCTAGATGTAAGTCAAATATAGCGCTCATAGCCAGGACTATTCGGACTGTTGTTAGTCGCACTACAGGAGAAAATATTTCATTAAAATCAATACCTTCTTTCTGAGCATATCCTTTTACCACCAATCTAGCACGATATCGCTTCACCTGATCATCGCCGTTTCACTTGATCTTGTAGACCCATTTGTTTCCAATGGTCTTTCTTCCTTGTGGTAGTGATACAAGTTCCCAAGTCTTGTTTTTATGGAGAGCTTCAATTTCTTCCTGCATTGCTGCCATCCACAAAGATGCATCTGTGCCATTTATAGCTTCATGAAAAGTTGATGGCTCTCCATCTTCTGTTAGAAGACAGTATGCAACATTACTCTCCGTAATATACTCCGAGTGCCAAGTCGGTGGTCTTCTCTCACGAGTTGACCTTCGAACTTCTGGAGCCTCGGACTCGACCGGTTCTTGTACATCATGCTCCGGTGTTGCTTCAGAAGAATTCGGATTATCTTCTACCTGAACAGCTATAGTCTCTGAGTCCTTCCTTGAACTGCTTTCTTTCTCTTTACTTTGTAGTTGGTTCTCTACAAAGATAACATCTCTGCTGATGATAACCTTGCGGGCAGTGGGATCCCACAGGCGATACCCCTTTACTCCATCAGCATACCCCAAGAATATGCATTTTCTGGATTTTGAATCCAGCTTTGTAATTTCTTGGGCATTGTACATTACGTACACTGGACATCCAAATATATGGAGGTTGGAATAATCAGCTGGCTTGTCAGTCCACATCTCCATTGGCGTCTTCAATTTTATTGCAGTTGATGGAGATTGATTCACCACATAACAAGCGGTTTTTACTGCTTCCGCCCAAAAGACTTTTTCCAGATTTGCAGTTGCCAACATAGCTCTTGTTCTTTCCAACAGAGTTCTGTTCATCCGCTCCGCCACTCCATTTTGTTGTAGAGTATAAGCCGTACTAAATTGTCTTTTGATGCCTTATTGCTTGCAGAATGCTAGGAATTCACCATCTGTGTATTCTCCTCCATTATCTGACCTCAAATACTTGATCTTCTTCTCAGATTCAAGCTCGACCCGCGCTTTGTAGGCTTTAAAGACTGAGAACACATCCGCCTTCTTCTTGATAGGATACACCCAACATCTCCTGGAGTAATCATCAATAAAGGACACAAAGTACTTTGCTCCTCCTAAGGATGTAACTGGTGCTTGCCATACATCAGAATGAACCAGTTCCAGAATAGCCTTGCTTCTAGAACTCGATGTGTTGAACTTCAGTCGATGCTGCTTGCTTGTAACACAATGCTCGCAGAATGGAAGAGCTACTGAATTAAGACCAGGAAGAAGCTTCTGATCGGAGAGAACCTTCAAGCCTCATTCTGACATGTGGCCTAGCTTGCGATGCCACATCATGGTTTGTTCTTCTCCACGGCTGGTTGATGCCACACATGAATCAGCTTCCTGCAGAGTCTCTCCCTTGAGCATGTACAGATTTGCAGCTATCTTTTCTCCTTTTATCACCACAAGCGCCCCTCTAACAATCTTCATGACTCCATTTTCTATATGAGTCTTGCACCCGAGCTCATCTAATTGTCCCAAAGACAATAGATTCTTCTTCAAGCCCTTCACATGTCGCACATCTTGAATGGTGCGTATTATACCATCAAACATTTTGATTTTGATAGTACCAATACCACAAATCTCCAAGGCATGATCATTCCCCATGAATACAGATCCTCCTGAGATAGGTTCATATTTGTGAAACCAATCTCTCCGAGAGGTCATGTGCCAAGAGGCTGCTGAATCTAGAAGCCAGACATCAGCAAACTTCTTTCTGCCTTCATCAACAGTGGTTGCTCCACTGAATAGAATTTCACCATCCTCTGACGTGCTGACAACGCATCCTTGAGATGTTGATGGCTCTGAAGACTTTTTATCTCCACTCTTCTTGTTGTGCCAACACTCCGATTTGACGTGCCCTCTTTTGCCACAGTTGTAGCATTTGATATTCTTCTTACTTCGTGATTTCGATCTACCATGGGCATGACTCCCACTGGAGCCACGTTCTGTTGATCTTCCTCTCGTCACCGACAAGGCCTCCGCTTGCTGCGAACTTGTCTGCCTGTCTTCCTTGTTCTTGCGCCGATTTTCTTCCTCCAGAACAGCGGCTGCAACATCGTCGAAGACTAGATTGTCCGTGAGGACGTTGTTCGTCAGGTTGATGATGAGTTAATCATACGAGTCAGGTAGACTCTGAAGTAGAAGTTCTGTACGTTCATTCGCACCAACTGTATATCCCAACGTTGTGAGTTGGGAGAACAGTGTGTTTAGGGTGTTGATGTGGTCGGTCATCGATGTAGATTCCGCCATCCTCAGAGTGTAAAGTCTCCTTTTTAAGAAGATTTTATTGTGCATGGATTTCGCCTCATATAGCTTTGTTAGAGTATCCCAGATCTCCTTTGCTGTCTTCTTCTCCTCTATGCTTGACAGCACCCCGTCTGCTAATGCCAGATGGAGATTTGCAATAGCATTTTCGTCCATCTCGTTCCACTTCTTATCATTTGTGATGTCGTCCGGCCTTGCACCGATGGCCGCCAAGCAATTATCTTTTCTCAAGATAGCCTTTATCTTCAACTTCCACAGTGAGAAATTACTCCCGTCGAATTTCTCGATCTTGAACTTCGCCGCCATTGCTTCTACCACGAACAGTAACTTCTTACTATTTCACGTAAATAGTACTGTATTTATGAACAGTAACTGTATCCGTGAATAGTACCGTACTTGTGAATAGTACCGTACTTGTGAACAGTACTGTACTCGTGAATAGTACCCTTCACCTCCAAAGGGTAAATGATAACCTAACTTATTTTCTGATGTGGAGGATCCACCTTTGGTGGCAGCCACAGAGCATACGATAAGTAGATATATACAAGTACCCTAAGTTGGCTCTGATACCACTTGTTGGGACAAACCCGGGGCCCAATAGAGCAGGGTCGCAGCAATAGTAAAGCAAAAGTAGAGATAAAATGATAGACACACAGATTTACGTGGTTCGGCACTTGATTGCCTACGTCCACGGGCAAGGATAAAAGAATCTACTATGAGGAGAAAACTCTAGAGTTACAAACTCTTTCTTTTTACAAGGAGAAACTCTCTCTATTTTTTTTCTCTCACTCTTCTATATAAGAAGTTGTTTCTGGGATGAGATTTCCTTAAGGATTTGGAGCCCTATTTATAGTTTTTAGAAAAACACTATGCACAATAAAATATTAATATTTTACTGTAACTGTGGGGTCCGCTCTTTTGTTTTCTTCTCCATTTTCAAAGTTGGTGGCTGCTTTCGGTGTGGTAAGCGCCTAACACCTTCAATCTTCATCTGAAAAAAATATCCCTGTTCTGGCTCTCGTTCCAGTTCGGAATTTTCGGCATCGTAGACATGTTTACGCTTGTTGGACTTATGGAATTCTTTTATAGGGAGGCGCCTTCAGGGATGAGGTCGCTGGCGACTTCTTTTTCGTATCTGGCGCTTTCGATGGGCTATTTTTTGAGTTCGGTGTTTGTGACGGTGGTGGAGGCGGTAACGGGAAGGAAGGCGATCGGTGAGGGGTGGCTTTATGGAAGGGATTTTAATAAGAATCACGTGGATAGGTTCTACTGGTTTCTGGCCGTTTTGAGTTGTGCAAACTTTGGGGTTTATGTTTTGTGTGCTAAGTGGTATAAATATAGAGGAGATGTTGGCAGTGAAGAAGGTGAAGAGGGCGAGGGAGGGAAGCTAGATCAGAATGAGATTAGGCAAGTTTGGTTAAGGGAGAGGAAGTAAGTGAGAAGTGAATTTGAACACTAGTAGAAAATCATGTATTCTAGACGGAATATTCTAGACGGGATTTTTTCCGTCTAGAATGTATTAAACTAGACGGAAAATTTCCGTCTAGAATATTCCGTCTAGAATAAAACATTCTAGACGGAAATTTCCGTCTAGAATAGTATTCTAGACGGTTGTTTTATTTTTATTATTTTTTTTAAAATTTTCGCGTATCCTAGACCGAAATTTCCGTCTAGAATGTATCCTAGACGGAAATTTCCGTCTAGGATACGTGGAAATTTTAAAAAAAATAATAAAGCGTCAAAACCCCAGTCCCCTTCTTATTTTCCCCCCAAATCGAAATTTCAGCGCCTCCCCACCCCCAAATCCTCAACTCCTACTCCTCCCTCCACCGCCTCCCCCTCCTCACCCTCTCCCTCCTCAACCTCACCCCCGACCCCTCCCCCGCTCCTCCTCAGCCCGCCTCGCCGGTCTTCTCTCTCCTTCACATCTCCGACAAAACTCCCGCCGTCCGCCCCTCCCCTTCCCTCCGTCACCACCGTCCAGTACGATGTCTCCGACCCGGCGACGCCCTCTCCAAGCTCTCCCCCTCTCCGACAACCTCGAGTCCAAGCCGTCGGCCGCCACTCCGCGATCCGCTACCCTGGCGCGGCTTTGCCTGCCGCTCCGCAAGCTTCTCCCCCCCTCCAAATCCCACCCAGCCTCCACCAAGAGCCGCCAAGAAACCCTAGATTGTGTCGACGATCTCCAAACGAATCTCCTCAACTTCTTGTCGGCGGCAGAGCCCGGATTCCTCGACGAGCTACTGCCGCTCCAGCGGGCACGTGCTTTCCTCGTGCTCGCCCAATCCGCTTCCTCTCTGTTGGCAGGTATAAAGCCCTAACCCTAGCTCATTGATTATTTTGCTTTCATAAAAATTCTTTTTTCCCTTTTTCTTTGAGCAGCAAGATTGAGGTGTAGTGGAATTCGACCAAATGATCATCCTATCAAAACTGAGATTGTAAGAATTTATCTCGATTTTATCGTCTAATATTTTTGTGGGGTTAGTTGTTTTCTGCTAAGAGATTGATAATTAAGCATATGTGTTTAAATCGTAGGAGAGATTGAGCTTGTGTGAGGGGAAATTGGAGCGATTTGGCAATTGGAACTAAGGTATTCTACTTTTGTTGTTAATTTATCTCATTCAAAAGACGTCTTCTCAGTCTTTTGAGTTTTGACACGGCTCTTCATGAATTTCTTTATATTCCAATGCTTTTCAGTAATTAACATACTGTTGTACTTTTCTCCTTCTTATTGACTCCACAGAAATATGAATGTTCTATGTAGATTAAATAGCTGACGTGTTAATTTTTGTTCTTTTACTAGCTTGAACAACTTGTTGTCGAAAACGTCCTGGCATTTAATGAGGGCTTTTGGATTCGGCTTGCTGCTCGAACGGACACATGCAAATCCGAAGATGATAAAGCATGGTTTTTTACTGGGTTGATAATTTTTCTTATTTAAATTTTCAACTTGTAAAACCATTTGGAAATTTACATTGTATAACATGATATCTTCATCTGAAAATGATATTCTACTTTGCAGAAGGATTATGAGGAATTGGCAGTGTCTATAATGAGCATAGTTGATCGCCTGGTTCACAAAACTAATGTAATGTCCCCTCATATTTAAATGCTAATGAAGTATGGATGCCATTAAGTAGTGACTTTACTAATACTGCTGTAAAGTTTTCTAAACTTTTAAATGCATGAACAACTGTAAAGAAAATACATTGTTTCTTCAATATTTGTTACTTTCACTTGGTAGTTCTGAGTTTGAACCTTATTCAGGGAACCCTACTTTTCTTTCTCTTTTTCCTTTTCTTATATTCGTCACTGTACATTAACCATGATACTTGATCTTTATCGTTTGGTGTATCTACCTACGAGCTGCTTTCAATCCTGATTTCTGGCTAGAAGCAGGTGTGGAAATTGATGCACTTTTTACACTAATGAAATAGAAGCAGTTGTTTCTGCTACTGCTTCAGGTACCAACAGTTAGAAAGAATAATCCAACAATCCAGGCTGATCTTAACATTTTTTTACCATTGTTCTGGTTTTTACTGCTGAAACTATATGTATCAGCATAATGATGAACTTATTTCATTAGAGGCAGCGTTAGAATAGTTTTTACTGCTGAAACTATATGTATCAGCATAATGATGAACTTATTTCATTAGAGGCAGCGTTAGAATAGATCCTCCTTACCCCTTCTTTCTTACAATTGAGGCAGCGTTAGAATAGATCCTCCTTACCCCTTCTTTCTTACAATTTAACAAAGCTTAACCTTATAGCGAATATTCTCTGTCAATGATATGACTAATTATTATTTGGTGTCATCATGAGGGTAAGGCTACTGTCTGGATGTTATACTGTAGTACTTAAAAAAAAACTTTCCTTCCCTTGATTAGCTGTGTGCATTGCTTGTCTATATGAAACATGCCGTTACTTGACTTCTCTACCAATTAATTTGTTTTCATTTTCTTCTTGCATACATAATCGTGCTTCATGTTCTGTATTCATTTCTATCTATTTCAGTTGCAAGAATAGTAGCAGAAATTGTTTTGTGCTATCGATTTTTTTAATTACTTTATCTTTCCCTGGAAAAAGACATGTTTCCTACTATGTCGACATAAATTGAATGTTATACTATAGTTTATCCTCTAACTTGGCCATACCTTCTGTCTTTAGATTTCCTAATAATGTGGCAGAGATATGTTTTCGTGACTTTAAGTTTAAGATTTAGATTTTCTTTCAATTAGAATATGACTTAATTTGCTAAAGTTATGTTTTCTTTGATGCAGGAGAAGATAGAATCTAAAACAGATATACTTAAGGAAATTCTAAACCCAGTAGTCGCTGAAGCTGAAGAAGTTTCATGGCCTCCAAGGGATCCTGAAGCTCTCATATTGATGGAAAAAGTAAATCACTGGTTTGGAATTTATCTAAATCAAGTTGCCTACCTATTTCAACAGTAATACTTACTTTTAATTAATACCTTACATTAGTCCTTAGTTATGTTCATCTCAGTGCAGACTCTTAGTTCAATTCTTACTCTTAAGGAAAAGTTTGAATTATTAATATGAGACCTGGATATACTTCTATTATTAAGCGATAGAGGGTTCAAGATAACATAATAAACATGGAAATTGGGAAATGCTAATATGGATGTGTAGAAGAACTGGAGAACGTAAGTATTAAACTTGTACATCATGTGAGAGTTGGTTTTTGTAGTTGTTGGCAATAATGTCTCAGGTGGCATCATGTGAAGTGATGTTCTATGAGTGCCTTCCAGATGTGTAATAAAGAGTTATGGTGTTCTTAACTGGTCAGGGGTAATTTTACTCCTAAAATAATATGTATAATTTGCAACTGAACAATTTCTATTTTGCTAGTAGGATTTGAATTGAAACTCAAAATCAACACCAGAGGAGAGCTTTAAATTAAGAAGTTTAGAAGTGTTATAGAGACATAATTATCATTAGATGTTTCTTTTCTTTCTGTTGCCTACTATCTCCATATCCTGTACATCAGTCCATTGCAATATAACATTTCTTTTCTACCTGCTAGTGCATTTACCATGTTAGTCAATGCTCGATTAAGTTTCTAATAGTCTTGACATAATTATAAAAGTAAATTGGAGAGGAAGCTCTCGGAGGCAGCAGGGAGAGAGGTGGTTCTTTGGTTCATGGAAGAGAAGGCAGATGACATCACGAAGCAGGTAAAAGAAATTAAACCTATTCAGAGTTCTGCTGATTTTGGGAAGTTGAGAAATGCAAATTTAAGATTATGTAGTTACAAAAGTTTGAAATTATCAGAATGAAAGTAACTTAATATGAACTGAATATTTCTTTAGTTAGATTGGAAATATTTCTATACTCTTGTTGTGTTACATTAACATTGTTTTAACATTACTATGTTTAGTCATTGTGTATATAGACGTGTCTGCGCAAACTCAATGTCAACATAATCAACTAGTGATAGTTTGGCTTGGATGATTTTAAGTTTGTAATGAAGTATATGGACTCTCACACATTGAACACCTCAGGTTTAATGTTTAACTTGTGCTCAATTCTTAACTCCCTAAATTTGATTATTGGAAGTGCTATTAATTAAGTCTCCCAATTAATTCTTAACTTGCTGTGATATTAGTTTTTCAAATCACTGGAATTACTAATAAGATGGGTTAATTCTTAAGTTCGTGTGGTATTAGTCCCTGCTTTGATATTTTCAAATCTGTCAGTTATATAGAACACGTAGCTAATGATTTTCATGTTTCTTGCTATATCATTGTCGTGCTTGCTTATGTGAATGTCTTCTGAAATCTGTTGTCTGGTCATGACCTTTTGAGATCACAATACTTGTTGAGATGCTCTAGTATATGCTTAGTTAACATCATGTTGTTAAGAGGTTTTTTGTATTCTCAGTGAAAACAAACTTATGCAATAAGACTTCCTAGAGCTCTTGTGAACAACTTATGCAATAAAACTTATGCAATATTGTATTCTCAGTTGTAACAGTACTGATCTACTTTAATATTTTTGAGGGAAACTTATATTTTTATTTGGTTTATCAGATAAATACTTGCAATGGTTTTTATTGTGATAGCTTCAAGCCAAACAATGAAACGAGTCCTAAGATGTGGACAGAAAATTGGACTGGCAAAAAAAAAAAAACTACTGTAGCATAGTATCCTAGACGGAAATTTCGTCTAGGATACTCAAATTCCGTCTAGGATGTTTTTTTAAAAATAAAAAATTAAAAAAAAATTAAAAACATCAAATTCCGTCTAGAATGAGTATTCTAGACGGAAATTTCCGTCTAGAATACTCATTCTAGACGGAATTTTTTTCCATCTAGGATAAATTATTCTAGACGGAAATTCCGTCTAGAATAATCCGTCTAGGATGTATTCTAGACGGTTTTGAATTCCGTCTAGAATATTCCGTCTAGGATGTATTCTAGACGGAATTTCCGTCTAGAATAATTCATCCTAGACGGAAACATACTAGACGCCTATTCTAGACGGAATTCCGTCTAGAATACGCATTCTAGACGGAATTCTGGGTATCCTAGACGGAATTTTCCGTCTAGGATACCTCATTATTTAGCAGTGGAATGTTGTAGTTAGTTATTCCAAAGAAATAAATTGAAAATGTGGAGGTAAAAGATTTTGTTGCATTTTGGGTTTACAAAACAAATGGATCCCGATAACCCGCTTTACGCTATCCGAACTAGTCAATGATTTTTTTATGTTTAAACCATTTATAGTTTTGCTAGTAGAGAAGCATGCCTTTTTCTTTAGATATTTTCTCACACGTTCAAACAAGTTGTTTTCTTCTGTTGCATCATGACCTTAGTCTTCTCTCTCTCTCTCAGTAGTTTAATTTGATTACTTACTTGGCTTTGTATCCTCTTCCTCGTATTTCTATTCTTCTATATTTTGATTGCTTATATTTGGATCGAACAAATTTTCAAAATAAACACATTCATATTTTTAATCCCAAAAATCGACCCACTCCAAACTTTTTTCTATCAAAATCGACCAATGTTCTCTCCACATCAGCTCCGTGGTCAGAAAGTGGATCGTTTTAAAAAAACCACGGTCCTAATTAGTCGGGATTGCCAACCCCGACTAACTAGGACCTCGCATGTAGCTAAACAAGTCTGGGTTCGAAAGCCCGAATAATTTGGTGATGGCACAAAATGGACGGGGTTAGAAACCCGATCATTTTGAAGCACGAAGTCGAAATGGTCGGGGTTCCCAACCCCGATCATTTAGCAAAGACTCGCAACAACCCTCAACCTGAAAATGGGGGAGGGACTAAGTCATGAAATAGTCGAGGTTGCCAACCCCGACTATTTCTGGTGGATTCCCTCCCCCTTATATATATGACCGAACCCATTTCTTCCCCCATATCATGATTTTTCTGTCGCGCGCCTATGCGGAAGCCTTGCACGAACTCACAATGAACCTGTGATCACGAGTAGAAGAAAGCCAAACTCTTGCACAAATCAAACCAATAACGCCAAATCAATCCAAACACAGAGATATACGTGGTTCGGCAATTTGCCTACGTCCACGGGGAGAGGATGGGGAGATTTCACTAATTCAAGGAGAGTACAAAGGGTTACAATCACACAAGAACTCTCAAACTAACCCTCAACCAAAGATCTCACCTTGCCCACAATATCTCCCTCTCACAATGCTCAAAAGATTCCTTAATCTCTGATGTAAAACCCTCACAAATCGTTTCCCTATTTATACCAAAACAAAACCCCAATTTGACTGCAAATAGGAAACCTGCGTATGCAAAAAAACCCGATATAAGTCGACTTAACAGAGGGTATAAGTCGACTTGGCAGAGGAAAAAACAACAATTGGAGATGAGATCGTAAGTCGACTTATGATGCCTGATAAGTCGACTTAACAGAGGCAAAAAACACAATTCTGCTGCAGATCGTAAGTCGACTCGTGCACGCAGACAAGTCGACTTACCATAAGTCGACTTAGCCTTGTGCATGAATCGACTTATGCCAGTTTTTCTGGTTTTTCTGATTCTTTTCCTGATTTCTCCACAATTCTCCACCTCGGCGAATTTTTCCAAAAATGAGCCGACACCAAACCAAGAGCATCAATGTGTCGTCTCTCCAAATACGGCTGCACCACCATGGTTGCCTACGTACCCCCTCTCCCAAGGGATCAAGCCGCCCGTAGTTCATCCAAATGGCCGTCAACGGCCTCAACAATCACAAATATTCAACAAGTTTCTGCAATGATCAAACTTGTTGCTTGGAACCACCTTCGTGAGCATATCCGCCGGATTATCCTTCGTATGGACCTTCACAATCTCCACATCGCCATCTTCAAGAACATCTCGAACGAAGTGATAACGAACGTCAATGTGCTTCGTCCTCGCATGAAAAACCTGATTCTTCGCCAAATATATAGCACTCATGCTATCACAATGAATAGTGACGGATCGCTGCGATATACCAAGTTCTTCCAGAAGTCCTCGAAGCCAAATAGCCTCCTTCACAGCCTCCGTAACTGCCATATACTCTGCCTCCGTCGTAGACAAAGCCACCGTCGACTGTAAGGTGCATCTCCAACACACCGGCGCACGGGTCAAGGTGAACACATACCCCGTTGTAGATCGGCGCTTATCCAAATCCCCGGCATAATCCGAATCAACATAGCCAATGCATAACTGCCCACCTGTAGTGTCCCGCTCATAAACCAAACCAACATTGAGCGTACCTAGAATGTACCTCAAAATCCATCTCACGGCATCCCAATGACCCACTCCTGGATCGTGCATGTATCTCGACACCATGCTCACTGCCTGTGACAAATCCGGCCTCGTACATACCATCGCGTACATCAAGCTCCCAACTGCGCTCGCATATGGAGTCTTCGACATCAACTCACGGTCTTCAACTGACTTCGGTGAAAGGTCAGCTGAAAGCTTCAAATGGGCTCCCAACGGTACACTAACTGGCTTCGTATCCATGCTAACATGGAATCGCTGTAGAACCTTCTTCAAATAAGCCACCTGTGTCAAACAAATTCTGCCCTTCTTCTTGTCTCTGCCGATCTCCATCCCTAAAATGCGCTTCGCCTCGCCCAAGTCCTTCATCTCAAACTCATTCGAAAGCTGAATCTTCAACTCATCTATAGCTGACCTGGAACTTGAAGCAACCAACATGTCATCGACATAAAGCAATAAATAAATGTACGCACCTCCTCTCAACTTGCGAAAATACACGCAAGGATCAAACTGGCTCCGAGTGTACGAATGACCAAGCATAAAACCATCAAATCGCCTATACCACTGTCGAGGAGACTGCTTCAAACCGTATAGCGATTTCTTTAGCCTGCAAACCAACTTATCTTTCCCTGCAGCTCGGAATCCCAATGGCTGAGTCATATATATTTCTTCATCAAGATCACCATGAAGAAATGCTGTCTTCACATCCAACTGATCTAACTCCAATCCATACTGTGCCACCAAAGCTAGCAAAATCCGAATCGACGAATGCTTCACCACCGGAGAGAAAACCTCATTGTAATCAATACCTTCCTCCTGTGCATAGCCCTTCGCAACCAACCTAGCCTTGAACCTCACTGGAGTGCCCTCAATGCCCTCCTTCTTCGTGTACACCCACTTGCACCCAATCGCCTTCCGCCCCTTTGGAAGCTCTACAAGCTTCCATGTATCGTTCTTGTGAAGAGACTCCATCTCCTCCTGCATAGCCACCTGCCACGAATCAGCCTCCGAACTCTGCTCGGCCTCTCTGAATGTAGTAGGCACCATCTCATCGATACTCTCCACCGGAAGTGCATATGCAACTGTGTCGGCATACCGTGCTGGCACCCGTATGTCTCTCCTCTGTCTCCGTGCCGCAATAGAATCCTGAACCTGAGCCGTCGGTCCCTGATCCTGCTCATGAGTACCCGTATCCTCCGCATCACCGTCGTGCTCGCCTGGCGTCACCTCAGTCGGCACTCTCATGGATACTGCACTATCTGGACTCTGTGGAGCTGCATCAATCTCCACCACCTGCGAAATCTCCTCTGTCGGGTTGCTCTCCACCTGATGAGAGCTGGGAAGCTTCAAGA